CGATTTCTTTGCTCTGCTTAGGCATCCTGGTGCTGTGTGTGCTCATTGCAGGTCTGTGTTATAAGTTCAGCGTTGTGTGGTACATGAAGATGACCTGGGCATGGCTAAAAGCAAAGAGAAAGCCAAAGTTGAAGAAGGGAGTGCTCCAGTACGATGCCTTTGTGTCCTACAGTGAAATGGACTCCGGCTGGGTGGAGGCGCATCTGATCCCGGCCCTGGAGCAGTCGGAACCGCCCCTCCGACTCTGCCTCCACAAGAGAGACTTTGTTCCCGGAGGATGGATCGTAGACAACATCATGGACGCTATAGAGAAGAGTCACAGAACGCTCTTCGTCCTCTCCCAGAACTTTGTCAGAAGCGAGTGGTGCAAGTACGAGCTTGACTACACCCATTTTAGATTGTTTGATCAAAACGATGACGCAGTTGTGCTGATTCTACTGGAGCCCATTGACAAAAATAACATCCCCAAAAAGTTCATCAGACTGCGGAAAGTGATGAACTCCAGGACGTACCTGGAGTGGCCTGATGATGAAGATCAGATCCCAGCGTTCTGGCAAAGTCTGAGAACAGCGATCGAAACACCTGAAATTGACGATACAAACAATCTATAAAAGCATTTATATTTCACATTTTGAATATACACTCACTTTTATATTGACATTTTCTAAAAGCTAAAATGTCCCCAACTTTACTCTGAAAGCAGGTATTATTATAAGCAAATATAATAAAATTTATATAATTTTTTTAAAATATTCACTTTCTTCAATTAATCCCTACAGTTAACCATTAAAACAGTAATTTTGGAGATTTTGTTAATCTGAATTTGCAATTCTAAAAATATTTGAAAGTCCTCCTGTTTGACTCGCAATATAAATGTGCTAAAAAAGGAATTTGATGACTGAATAAAAAGTTTAGCTCTTTGTACACAATTTGGGTTGGTGCAATAAAGTACTCACTTATCCATCTGTATTAAATTTTGTTTAAAAGAAAATATAATCCTGTCTGGAATTGCTCAGTTTTTACCTTTTTTTTTGTTTTCTACTCCTCTTTAATTTCCTAGAAGAGATGATGCACCAAAGCAACTTCCACCTCTTTGTTAGCATGCTCAGTCTGTCCATTAGTATATGCGAGAGTCTTGTGATTGGTCCAGACTATGAAACCTCCAAAGTTGTAGTTTCTCTCTGCAGGCGAGAAGTAATGAGGGGGAAAAAAAACCACATGGACGAATATTTCCATGTCTTGTTGGGTGAGGACTGCTCCCACACCTGAATCTGAGGGGTCCTCTTCCACTAGGAACTGTTTACTTCAGTCAGGTTGAGTGAGAATGTGGATGTAGTGGAGAGCTGTCTGAATCTGTCTGCAGAGTTCCACTGAAAAGGGTGCTTGTGAGAGGTTGAACTGATTAGTAGCGACGCAACTCCATTGAAACCACGAATAAACCTCTAATAGAAGCTTGTAAAACCCAGAAACCTTTTCAGATGTCTCCTGTCTGAGGGTACGGGCCAGTCGACCACGGCCTTTACTTTTACAGGGTCTGCTTGCAGTTGCTCTCTTCCCACAATGAATCCCAAAAGAGACACAGAAACTAGTGCTGTCAGCATTAATCCCGTTAAAATTATGTTAATGCCATAACCGCTTTAACGCAGCAAATCTCCGTTAGCGAATTATCGCGGTTCTAACGCGTTGACGCCGCGCAGCCCCACGCACGGGGTGAATCTCCGTTAACTTGCTAACGGAGATTTACCGCATTAATGCGGTTATGGCATTAACATAATTTAAACAAGATTAACGCTGACAGCACTAACAGAAACACATTTTTCTCCTGTCACGTAGGAACAGTTTTTCGAGAGGAGCTGGAGGACCAGACGCACATGTTTCTAGTGCTCCTGGAGAGACTTAGAGAAGATCAGGATATCATCTAGATACACAAACACAAAGTGATTATTGAAATCTCGTAGCACATCGTTGATCGGGGCCCGAAACACTGCAGGGGCATTGGTCAAACAAATTGGCATAACCAGATACTCAAAATGTCCAAAAGGGTGTTGAATGTTGTTCTCCATTCGTCTCCTACCTTAATTCTGACCAGGTGATGATAAGTGTTACAGACTTCCAGCTTAGTAAAGATAGTCTCACCTTGAAGCAGTTCAAAAGCAGTTGTGAGGAGAGGTAAAGCATACTTGGTCCCTGCGTACACTTTCACAGTCAAAACAAAAGTTAAGAACGAGTGTTTTGTCTTTTTTTTTCCATGAAGGAAAATCCAGCACCAAAGGGAGACAAAGATGGGCGGATTATGCCACCTGTGAGGGAATCTTAGCAGCCGAGGTAGAGCAGTCCTGGGGGCTGGCTGGGTGGCCAGCAGCATAGGTGGAGCAACCCTGCAGGCCAGCCAGGTGGCAGAATATATGTTCTCAATTTAGCTGATTTAGCTGAATCACAGAATTTAGCGATTCCAATTCCATTATTAACATCAATTATCGATTCAATTTCTTATCGATTCTCGTATGGACCTTCATCGCATTCTCATTGGCTCCACTTCAAGAGTGACCACCATCACTTTAACATGCTAAGCAGCGTATCACAGGCATTACAGTAATGCAAATGAATTGCATGCTGCATATATTTCCTCTTTTGTTGTGATCAATGTTGGGGTTGTTACTCAAAAAATTAATTATTACACATATTATACACCAGACTTTTCTTAAAAAGTAACAATAGCCACCCCAGTCACTACCTAACACACTCAACATGTCACGGCATTTTCAGTTTCTTGTGTTTTGGTATTTTTCTGTATTATGATTTATGGTTTGATTCTTTAGCTGTGCTGTTTTGATTATTCTTCTAGGTTTAGTTCAGTGTCAAGTTTGCGTCTTTGTGATTTGTTTCTCGTTTCCTGTTTTATTTTGTTAGTCTCAGTCCTATGTCAGTGTATTCAGTTTTACTTCCCCCTGTCTCGTTAGCCCTAATTTCTCCCAGCTGTGTCTCCCTCCTGTTTCCTATTCCCTGATTACTCCACTGTGTATATAAGCCCTGTGTTTTCCTTTGTTCTCTGTTGCGTCGTTAATGTCTCCTACCCTCAGTAAGCTGTGTGTTTGTCTTGTACTCCTGTTTAGTTTTTCTGTTCAGAGCTTTGTGTTGTTTTTGTGAATTTTATTTATGAGGAGATTTTTCCAGCAGTAAAGCTGCATTTTGAGTTCCAGTCCCGTCTTTGAGTCCTGCATTTCAGGTCCTTTTTTCCTGCCTGCCACACAGCCTATCATGACACAGCATGCTCGTACAAAGCTTTTTATTATAATTAACAGAGTTGATATTTGGTTTCCCCTGCAGTGAAGCCATAGACCGCACCTCCGCCAGAGTAATAAAGTACATTGCTTAATAACTCCCAGGAGAAAGTAATTAGTTATTCTACTCATTACATTACTTTCATGTTACTCTGTAAAATAACCTCAACCACACTGTCTCATAATGAGCATTTAACATTATAAATCTCGAGGCTGCAGTCCTATACACCAACACAAATCCCTGCGCTAATGACGGCAAACATATGATCTTTCTCTCAGTATTTAGGTGTGAAAACAAAGCTCACAGCACAAAGAAAAGATGAAAACCAGCACAAAGACACTTTTGAGTGATTCTACTTTAGACACACAAACAGGCAGAAAAGGAGCCTGCAGTGTGACTGCTCATCCCTGCTTTTGCTACCTGTTGAAGTGCAAAGCTCGACTGCTAGGCTGGGGTCAGCATTCACTCAGCTAACGTCACAAACTGAAAGCAGCTAATTGCAGCACAAATGCGACCGTCAAATAACTGTAACCGTTCAACGGAGGGAGTTTCTTGTTTTGTTTTTTCCTCCAGTCAGACAAAACAAGTGCAGACAAGTACAGCCACACTCTTCAATAGCGTACACACCCATTCTCACACGGCATGGAATTAATCTTTTAGGATTTAAACTTAAATGCACCTTTTCTTTTTTTTTTTGCTTTACTTTTTGAATATTTAACAAAAAACATTTTTGTTGGGCGTTTGAAGGCACATGTATTTTATTCAAATAACATATAGAGGAAGCTTTCTACAGACAACTGAACAGTAAAACCAGAGAAACCATTTATCCTATTCTTATCCCAAAGCCCTGCAGACAAACTGCCACTCTGTTTCTGTATCACCACTTCCTAATATGGCAGGATGTATGCCAGACATGGGGAAATAGTTAAGCCACAACCAATAGAAGTGGCACAGGACACTTCAGAAGTTGTTCTGAATGTTCAGAAGAAGTGTGAGACATTTCAACTGTGACCAAGACGGGACATTTATGAAGGTATTTTCTCATTATTTTGTTCTGTGCAGGCCTATCGCTGTTAAGCTTGTTTTTTTTGACCAGAGAATTTATTATGTTTTAATGATATGTTGAAAAACTAATTATAACATCAGTAACATTAAATTTGAAGAACATTTTCCAATTCCATTTTTAAATTCTTTGTTTATATGCAATTAAAGACACACATGATTTTCCTACTTCAGTGAAACATTCTGAACTCTATAACAACCAAGACAAATTCCACACTATGAAAAGCAAGTCAAGTGTCAACTATTAGACAATTATTTAAAGATCGTAGATTATATTGTGTACATTGTGTTATTGTGATGATTTACTGGCATACGCGTATATAATACTGTTCTTTTATTCCTCTGAAAAGTAAGAATTTGTGTTTGTGTGAATTTGGTTCAGACGTTTGTGGTCCCTGATGTCTTTTCTGCAGACACGTCTTTCTTAATGATCACTCGATTGCTGCCAGTGGGTCAAACTGTAATTTCCCCACCACGTTACTTTATGACATTAGCACGAAGCCTCCAGCTGTGCTCCAAAGCTGTTAGCATGGCTGTTTCATCATTACATTGTGTCAC